CTCTGTGACGGTAATTATTAATTGTTCTTCCGGTGGCATATTCTTTTTGCTTTTCTGCAATCTCCTTTGCCACAACAGGACCGCTTTTTCTTTCTTGACCACTTGCTTGACGAATAATTTCTCGACTAGCTTCTGATAATTTAGGTTTAGCACCAACATTTGAATAATCAGCAAAGCATTGGTCATATGATTTTTCCCACCGCTCCGAGACAAATCGAGTTGTGCGATGAATTTTGTCCGCAATCCATTGTCTATTTATAAATGTTGCACCAGCATCGCGAGCTTCACGAAAAGCGATGCACTTGATCCTGTCAATCATTCTCTGTTGTTCAGTATCATAAGCACCAGCCATTTGAAATAACAAAAGTGTGATGATTTAACGAGATGATGAATTTTATTATGATACATATCGATAAGAAAATTATCTTTTATATCCCACGATGTATCTCCAAAATTTCTCTCCACTATGACTTTCGTGCAGAACGAAAAGAAAAAAATCTTTGATAGAACAACTAAAATTACAAGTAGTAAACAAAAGAACGCAAGAGAATCATCTTGTTTTCTGAATTATAGTTGTGTTTTCTAATCGTTACCATAACCTTCTGTGATTTTTTTTCTATAAAACTCTTCATTTTCAATATCTTGAAACTCATTAAAAATGAGTTATAATGATTTTTTTTCAACAAAACGCAGTCTTTTTATGGGTTTGATGTATGAAAGTTTTCCAAAGCCTTTGTATTTAGCATCACTAAACCCCGTTTTTCACGGGCTTTCATTTGGTATAAAATTCATCATACCTCCTATTCGGGATTATATCGCTACCCCCCTTGAATAATATTCTTTCCGACCCTGTACGTGCTTTTGTTTGCGAATCAAAAATTAAAACAATAGTTGTAATATACTAAAATCGACTAATGTTATTTAATTTTAGACTATATACCGATGACTTTTCTTGTTAAGTATCCAATGCCTTATTCACTTTGTCTTCCTATATTTTATCCATGTGATAATCATTTTAATTATAATGCACTAGGATGTGGTACTGCATGTTACATCTTTGAATCAATAGCAGGAATAACAACGTGGATTATTAGTATTCTTGGACCATTATTGATTATTTTATTTGCAAATCTTTTCCTTATTATGAAAGTACATCAACATAAATGTCAAATGATACGAAAGCATACATGAAGAAAAAAGAATTGAATGTTTCGACAACATTTATTAATATAAGGTTTACAATATATTTCATGGTTTCCAATAAGTCTAATTTCTGCGATAGACGCTATATCATCAACGGTAACTATTCTCGAATTACGTCTTGAATGGCTATCATTTGGCTTTATTTATTTTCCTGTACTTTGTTCTCCAGTAATGTCAATCATTGCTTTACCTGAACTGAAAAATGAAATAATTCAATGGATTCAAGAGCAACGTGATATTTTTAATACTCGAATTCATCCTATGATTAGACGTCCTAGTGTACTTCAACGTATGTTATAAATGATAAATATCAATAAACAGGAAGTTTATTTGAAAGTATTTGTTTTATCATTGTTTAATGATTACAAGTTTATTTCCTATTTAATTATTATTGTTTGTACTGTTATTTTTGTGTTGTACGTGTTAATATGTCTTTAGATGTTGTATATATACTAATAAAATGAAAAATTTTTATTAAGTTTTGAAAATTATATAAACGTTTGCAGAATTTTCTTTTTGAGTTTTTGATTCTATGATAATTCATTATCTTCTTTCTTTTTTTGATATATTTCAATGTATCACTACATTTGTATCTATAAACTCTTCGTGCTATGCGATGTCGTAACTAATAGATATACTGTTTTTACTTTTGTCACATAACGAATAACTCTAATAGTCGTTCTCTCTTGTCTTTAATTGAACAAAACTTTAATACATGATAGAATTCATTTATTCAAAAAGAACGATCAAGTTTGTTTTGTATCATAGCTTTCTAATTTGAACCAACCATTTTGATCATATCAGAGTGTAAAAATTAAAAATATTTCTACTCCAAATATTTTGAATAATAATATCGAGAATAAGTCTTTTTTCTTCATGAACTTATCGATAAAGAAAGACTTATTATATCATTGTTGTTTATCATTACAGAATGAGCTATTCTAAACGTTTCAAATATTCAAGAAATTTTCATTTATAAACACAGCAATGAAACGATACCAAATATTTCATCACGAAAATAGAAACCACAGAGTCATTCAGTACCTGCCTCAAATAATTATAATCGAAATGGAGATTAAAGAATCAAATCTAGGAATACTCTTCTGATAAAAGAGAATAGAGTATCTGCTTTGTATTTTCCAATACATTAGCACTGGAGCATATTGAATCTCGATGAGGCTCAAGGTCTTTTGTTTTTTTCTTTAGTCAAACTTTGAAGACGAAACTTCCATCAAGGCATCAACTAAATTTCTTTTTTCAAGCTACGAAAAATAGCTAAACAATAGAAACATAATAGATGATTTAAAAAATATATGAAAGTTTTTTCTTTCCAATATTCTGAAGTTGTGGAAATAAAGAAGCTCAAAGATCTTTGCATTAAAATACAGTTAACTTTTTCCTTAGCATAAAATATCCGAACAAGTGTTAGAATATCCAAGCAACTTTGATGCACAAAAGTCGAACATCAAGGAAATTTCTTACAATCATAGAAATTTCAATAGACTTTGTTTAGAAACAAACTTTTTTAGCACATTCAGCTACAGTTTTGCGTTCTTTTGCAGTTTCATCAGAAAAGTGCCTATAAAAATATTTAGCAATACTTATCACCATTAAACGACGACGTTTCTACTAGAAATGAAACTATTCGAATAAAAGTAGCTAAATTCTTTAAAATTTTGACTTAGCTGACTTTTTAGATCGATAAAGACTTTTGTCATTGTTTAATTTCTGTGAAACTAAAATGCTTTGTACACTCTTTAAAAAAACTCATCTATGCTCGCAATTTGATTCTAGATTTCTGCAAAGAAATCTCCTCATACACCGAATATATGAGCAAACGGACTTAACTTTCAGATGAATAAATACCATTGCGTAGGTTTCATTTTCATTATAATAAATCCATCGTTTGATCATATGAACGAGTAGAGATAACGATAATTCTATGAAAGAAAGACTTTTGCTCATAACATTTGTTAGAACAAATCTTGTCAACTTTCTGAAGGTAAACTTACATGCATAATCAAATTTTTGCCATGTCTACGTAATCATATCAATCATCTGTGGCTTTAATACGTAAAAATGAAATCTACACGATCTTTATTATTCATCTGAAAGTCAAGCCCATCGGTTCATATATTTGGTGCACGAGAGCCTTGATTTGAGACCAGATAATGATCTATATACCATTTCATACCCAGACAACATGTATCGATGATGTTTGCAGAGTTTTTCAGATACTTTGTAAGTTACCTATTCTAGTCAATTGTTTAATCTTTAGTTTTTCTATAAAGCTATATTTCTTGTGTCCTCCTAACACCTGAAAATAATCACACATCGTTAGTTGCTTGTGTTCTTAGCTTAAGTCAGTCTTTTAACGGAATACCTTGAAGTCTGACGTTGATATTAATAATGATTATTTTTAACATTCAATATCGCACGGTTCTGTATTTATTTTGTCTTTCTAATATTTTTGGAACTGGCGAGTTTGAAGAAGAAGAGTAGTAAGTGTAACATAGGCGGCGGAGCGTTTTGAATCTAGGGTAGGCTCAATATTTTTATACGAGCCTTACTGACAGGTTAAAGATAGAGAGGGTCATTTTTTATGCTATGTCATTCAAATAAAATACAACCAATATTATTTATTTCGAACTCAAATTTTTTAATGCATAACATTAGCACAGATCAGAGATGAGTTTGCAACTTGTGGCAAAAATCTTGTATTCAAAGAGTTACTTAACCTTTTGTTTTCATTAAATAGTGACCTTCAAATATAGTCCATCGGACGCAAAATTTTAGGATCCGAAGCCGGATTCGTAGTGCTCGTACTCTCAATGCAAGGTTTTTACTCTCAATTTGATAATTATTTCAAAGATGCTACATTCTTTTTATTAATTTTTCGGGCAACCAGCACATCCTACACATTTTTCAAACAATTTTGACGATAATCTCGTAATAACCAAGTTTTAACTAGTTCTTACGTGCTGCTAGAGCCTATCAGGTCTGAATTCGAGAATTTGTGCCTGGATCCAGATCTGACTCTAGTCAACAGAGAAATTTCAAATTCAGGCTCAGAACTAGAGTTGGTTAGATTCTGAACCTATCTCAGGGGCTGCACATTGGAAAGAGTTTTTGATTTGTATTAGTGCAAACTAGAATTATGGCGACGGAGCAGTGCTCACAGAAAAGGAATCTCATTGTGGGTTTGTTCAGCGTGTTAAAAATGTTTGATTGGCATCTGAGAGTAACTGCAGAAAGGCGAGAGAATTTTGACATCATCCAGCCGATATGATTGTAAGTAACCTGTAAGATGATTCTTCATTTGTAACAAAAGAGCATAACGTGAACTCATTATCAATGTACGTTGCAACACTTAGTCATACGAAACTCAGTTTTTTCCCTAAAAATGTTAGCAGCTACCGCTGATGGCAGCAAAAACT